GAACAACTTGGAGTGGTACGACCCGGAGGCGATCACGACCAGGAACGGTTCGCTCGAGATCACGCTGTCGAACAAGCCGAACCACAACCTGAACTTCACCGGCGGCCTGATGTCCTCTTGGAACAAGTTTTGCTTTACAGGAGGCCTGGTCGAGGCGCGCGTAATGCTGCCTGGGTTCAGTAACGTGCAGGGTTTGTGGCCGGCTATCTGGGCAATGGGGAACCTTGGCCGAGCTGGATATGGTGCATCGCTCGATGGGATGGTGTGTATACGAGAGCCTCAGTCTAAATGGGTATGGTTAGTCACTGACACTTTACAGTGGCCGTACACGTACGATGCGTGCGATGTGGGGACGGCTCCCAATCAAACGATTAATGGTCAGCCGATCGCGGCTACGGTGAACGGTGATCCGGGGAACGGCGGCGTCTTGTCGTTCCTGCCAGGCCAACGACTCTCGCGATGCACATGTCCTGGGGAGTCGCACCCTGGCCCTGTGCATTCAGACGGTCAATACGTTGGGCGTTCGGCTCCTGAGATCGATATGTTCGAAGCACAGGCGAGTCGAGAGTTGGCCAGTAGATCCTCTTCGCAAGTATTCACCTCGTTCTTGTAGGTCGGAGGTACCGTCGTGCCCGGAAAAGTCGGAGCTGTCTCACAGTCTGCTCAATGGGGTGTATGTCGACCATATGTATGCTGTCTGCAGTGTTATGTGACTGACGATCATTGCCGGAACATAGCCATTCAACCACGCTTACCGGTGGTATAACACTTCGGATAATCTCGTTATCAGCGACCCCACGAAGAGTGAGCTGAACAGTTACATGGGTGGTGCCTATCAGCAAGCCACATCCGTGGTCACAGTGACCGGTACGCAACGCCTTTAGAATCATCTCAGATTGGCATCTCAGCAAGGCTCGCTATAGATCAACAGGCTTACGAGTTTAGTGGTGCCCAGTACTCGGTCTACGGTTTCCAATACAAACCAGGATTTGGTGATGCCGTAAGTGCTGTTCTCTGGCGTCTTTCGCATGTCCTGATAACACTCCTCGCCCAGTACATAGCATGGATAGCGAATGGGGAGCTCGCATGGGTACTCAGGCAGCCCGGTATGGCCGCGGACCCTATTGTCGAGATCAGTGACAGGCCAGTTCCTCAGGAGCCTATGGTACTATGCATGACAGCTGGAGGCGGACGGCTTGCTGACGTGCTTTCAACACTCACAGTATCTGATTGCGAATCTGGGCATGTCGCAAAATTTCGGTTTCGTCGACTTCGCCCATCTGAAGTTCCCATCCACTATGCGTGTGGACTACATCCGAGTGTACCAGGATCCCAATAACATTAACATCGGTTGCGACCCACCTGACTTCCCGACTGCCGCGTACATCAATGAGTGAGTGCATCTCGTTATAGGAAAACAGCACGAAGTTGACTGGTGTCGAAATAGGTACGCAGAGGCATATAACAACCCTCTGCTGACGACCTGGGTCGATGATTTCCATCAGACCATTCCGAAGAACAAGCTCGTCGACGGATGCGACTAAGGCGGCCACGAGCTGGCGCACCAGTCTTTTACGATCATGTTCGCTATTGCCTCCACGCCAGGCTTGTTGGACAGTGAGCGTTCTACGGCTCGCAATCGGGTACTCCCGAGTGAAGCTCATCTTCGCTCCACAGATGTGTGCATACGTATACACGCCTTTATGATATTTTTATTTTGCAAGTAGACTTTGTCCTTGAGCGTGAATGAAGCCTTGGCAAAACTTGGACGTGGTGCGGGCACATCATTCCCGGTAGTGCCAAAGACAGTAAGTTACTAGAAGATGGACAAGGCTGAAGCTGGACGCCGCCTCTATTTTTGTCCGAAAGCGCTGATTGGCTGTACACCGAGTCAGGCAGGCGGTTCCCACGGATGGAGGTCTTGGGAGGGCGAAGCGTATCTTGACTTGCAACTTGACTACCAGGTCGTTGCAGGCGCAAACCCTTCCGCTCCTTATCTCCTTCCTTGCCCTGTACCACTACGAATATCTCTCATTGTCTTCCTCAGATACCCTCTACTTCCGCATCGCTCTTTAGATTCTCCGCAGACTGCATCACATACTCACAGAATCGCCATGGCGTCGTTACGTCCCGACCCGCAAATGCGGTACAATCAAGCAAGCTCTTCCTCGACAACCAGTCTCCTCAGTCCGTCAGGTGCGCCGAGCGTGCAGGCCGCGCTCGCTCGCGGCCCCCAACTTCGTAGTATGGCCAGCGACGCGTCTCTTGTGAGTCACTGTCCACCGTGCTGCGCACGACCGACCATTCTCAGGCTCATACTCCACGTCAGAACGAGTCCAGGTACTCTGGAAAGACGGCCTCTATGCCTGCCTCCATTTCCGACAAGGTGTGTCGTTAGCATTGATTAAGCTTCCTGGTCACAATATCGAGTAGCCGTCGTAGTTTTCGCTCTCCCCGGATCCTTCGTCGTGGGGGGCTGATCTGTCTGTTGACCATCCCGAAGGAGATGACTATCTCCACAACCCTGACCCACGTAGAGACAGGAAGAACGATCAGGGTGGGCATATTTTCACCTCCAGAGGTTTGGTCAACCTGGGATGCTTGTTCGTTCTCGGAGCCGGTCTGCTGGCACTTTTGTGAGGTTTCTGCCCCTCCTACTCCCGACTGCGTTCTGAGCTTCTTTTCCTACGCAGCGCCGGATATCCCATGATCAGCTACTTCACTCGGCACCCTCTGTCGACTTTTGGAGGATTCAACTTGGGCGGTATCAACGCGACTGGCCAGGTCCCTTCCATGCCAGGCAACTGGGGGCTCATCGATCTCGACACTCCCCAAGAAGCCTACACATACCCTGATTTCAACAGCGGCAAACAGTGGCAACTCATCTGGAGCGACGAGTTCAACGTTGACGGCCGTACCTTCTATCCTGGTGATGATCCTTACTGGGAAGCTGTCAACTTGCACTACTGGCAGACGAACAACATGGAGTGGTATGATCCTGCCGCTATCACCACGAAGAATGGGTCTCTCCACATCACGCTGAGTCGGAAGGAAACGCACGGCCTGAACTTCCAAGGGGGTATGATGTCCACTTGGAACAAGTTTTGCTTCACGGGTGGTATGATCCTTACTTCTGTCGTGCTCCCTGGTGTCAACAACGTCGTCGGTCTCTGGCCTGCTATCTGGACTATGGGTAACCTTGGGCGTGCTGGATACGGTGCCAGTTTGGAGGGAATGGTATGTGATCGCTCTGCTCACGACTGTTATGGGAGCTAATGCCGCTACTGATAGTGGCCGTATACCTATGACTCTTGCGATGTAGGCACCGTCGCAAACCAAACAATCAATGGGCTGCCTTACGCAGCAACCGTCAACGGCGATAAGAGTCAAGGCGGTGTGTTGTCGTTCCTGCCCGGCCAGAGGCTTTCGCGGTGCACTTGCCCGGGAGAGTCCCACCCCGGCCCAGTGCACTCTGATGGGACCTATGTCGGTCGGGCTGCTCCCGAAATTGATATATTCGAGGCTCAGGTAGAGCGACACCTTCTCTATAGTCTTTCAACTCGTGTCTGACCTTTTCCCGGCCAGATCACCGGCCAACCGCTGACTGGTCAAGTCTCTCAGTCAGCGCAGTGGGGAGTAAGTGGCCACAATCCTTGAATCTTTGACACGCGTTTACCTGTCCTCCCACAGCCGTTCAACGAGGGATATAATTGGTTCAATACTTCCGACAACCTCATCATACCCGATCCCAGCATCAGTCAGCTTAACGGCTATAAGGGTGGAGTATATCAGCAGGCTAGTTCAGTCGTAACTGAGACGAGTAAGTTACGCGAATCATGGATTGAACATGTGCCTCATCGTCCTCCTTCAGACCAGGAAGCGTACGAGGGCACCGGGGATGTGTATTCCGTTTACGGCATACAGTACAAACCCGGCTTCGATGATGCTGTTAGTCCTGATCTTTCGCATGCATATCTGAACGGACTCGTCATAACTGACACCTTTTAGTACATCAGTTGGATTGCGAATGGTAAGCTTGCGTGGACGTTGAAGCAAGCTGGGTTCGCAGCCGATACGGCCGTTGAGATCGGGCCCCGTCCCGTCCCTCAGGAGCCCATGGTACGAGGTCTCCGTAAGTGTAGGCTGTATCTTGTATCGCTGACAACTGCGCCAGTATATCATAGCGAATCTGGGAATGTCCACGAACTTTGGCTTCGTCGACCTTGAGCACTTGCAATTCCCAGCGACAATGAAGGTCGACTACATCCGTGTGTATCAAGACCCGGACGCCATCAACATCGGCTGCGATCCTCCGGATTTCCCAACTGCTGCGTACATCAATGAGTGCGTCGGCATGGCTTGAAGTTGGTTGTGGCTTGCTCACCCATATCCTCAGATACATCGAAGCGTACACGAATCCGAACCTGACGACCTGGCGAGACGATTATGGGCAGCCATTCCCGAAGAACAAGTTCCTCGGACAGTGCTGAAGAGTTCTGGCCCGCCTCACAGCACACGTCCTCAGCTCGACGCTCATGAATGCGACACTGTCTTGAAGCTGCGGACTCCGAGGGAACTCTGTTTGCCGATGCTGTTCGTGTCCAGTCTTTACTCGCTCGAGTCCTTCCGCTGCATTTGTATTGTTTCGTTGCATGGCATATCTTATTTCTTCTCAATGAACTCTATTCGTACACTGAGTTCTACGGCTGGCCTCCCAGATATCTACTCCCCTGCAGTTGCGTTGTGTTCTGTTTCTGCGGCTGCTGATATTCTTTCTATAATTCATGGATATACCGTAGAGGTCAGACAAAAGATACGGAAGTGTCCGTCGATCACCATGTCACTCAGTCGGGTTTGTTCTACGTCTTCCAGCTTGTTCGTTGCTCATGAAGAAACCGGTACATATGGAGAACATGGCACGCAAAAGCCGCAAGAGAACCGCGACTGTCCTGTCGTACGGAAGGTTCAAAAAGCGAAAATCGGGAGGCGAAAAGCTCAAGCTCCCTGGCGGGGAGTCGAACCCCGCTCTCCCGCGCCCGCATCAATTTGACAGGCGGGTGTACTATCCGATATACTACCAGGGACTTACTCAGTGGAAAGCTAAATTTTACGTATGTCGTTGTCTCAAGACACGAACTGGATTCGTTTGAACGCGGGCAGACTCTCTCGCATCACATCCACCTTCCGCAACATATCGAAAGGCATACATCATGTCTTGTACCACTACAGAGTGAGGTCCAATGACGGTCTGCTGCAGCAAAAAGTCGGTACAGTTTTGGAGGAAAGTCTAGTCCATCGAGAGGCTATAAAGCACGGGGTGAGCGCGGCGGAGAGGATAACGAGCGCGGCGAGTGCACATCTTCCTTCGCGCGCACGTCCAGGGTCACAGGCAGGTTGTGGTATCGCTGGAGGTCGTACGCCTCTGAACGCCCAATGCCTCCCACATCGTTCGGTAGCCAGATAGTTGGAGGTGGTGCGAGAAGCTCGGGGGCGTAAAGCACCCCTGCCATCTCCTCCGCATGGTCGGCGAAGGGAAGAGGAGGGAGGTGGGGCGGCGCATCTGGATTTGTACGTGCAGCTCGTTCTGTAGCGGTGAGGTCGTCCAAGTTCTCGGTCTCTGACGCGACGTGTGAGTACTTCTACTTGGTGACCATCTGGGGACCAGTGTAGACGTACCGAGCGGCACAGGACCCCTGGCTTCAGAGGCGGATGGGGTCACAGCCAGCGTCAAGGACATCATTTCTAACACCGAGGCGAACGAACCGCGTGCCCGGGTATTCCTGGCGGAGCTGACGAGGCTTGTACTCTCCTCGTCCACGCTGCGGTGCTTGCCCGGAACGGCAGTTCTCTCGAATGTCGCCAAGGAGTCGAGTGTGATCGGAGATAGCGAGTAGCGTCCAGCGAGCCTGGTTCGCCAGCTGCAGAAGCCCTCCACTACTACAACTACGAGGAAGGCAACACCGCACAGCACGCCGCCCTCGGCCCAAAGCCGCCTGCTGAGGAATATGAGTCCGAGAAGGAGCGGTTGGAAAGCGAAGACGGTGCCGAGGCGGCGAAGGAGCCAGATGTACAGCAAGCCTCCGGTCTGCGACAGCGTCCTGCCATAAACATAACCAACGAGAAATCTATGGGCTATCCGGAGCATGAGCATTGACACAAATCGTTGAGGATGTCTGATACTTACCAATCAAAGTCAAGAAAAGCAGCAACAGAACAACAGGAGCAAGCAACGGGTAAATCAGAACAAACGCGGATGCAAGAATGATGGCGAACACAGAGCAGCTAGCGGCATAATAAGGATCATAAGACTGAGGATATACAGCTGTTGGAGTTTGAATGTCAAGGTTCAGAAACGAAACGGACGGGTACGCACCTCGGAAACGTTGGCGCGGTGTGACAGCTGCCTTCTCCGCGCGAACAATCCTCCAAAGCCGGATTGGCTGGAGCAAAAGCAAGCCAGGGGATATGATTGCAACATCCAACACGAGCGTAAGGGCGAAGGCGCCCATGTAGATGGCGCCGTTGGCGACTGTCTGCGATTCGCCAATATCTGTGCTGAAGGCTTGGATAGAGAACAGGATAGCACCGGTGGTGAACATCCAGGCGCCCCCGACAATGAGCAGCAGGTAGAACATGATCTTGAACATTATTAGACGGGAGGCAGACAGAGACACGGTGCGCATTAGCGGGGTCAATTCTCCATCAAGAGCGATGTCAGTAAGTAGGCTACACCACATAAAAAGAATAACTCACGATGAACGACCACCAAGGCCAGCAAGATGAATAGCGTTGCGCCCACAGAGGCAGCGAAGGTAGATCCCACCCCACCTGCAAGCTTGTTGCCCGAGACGAGAGGTATGAAGAACGGGAAATAGTGCGCCACGTCTGGGGCCGTAGCCACCGCGAGGCCGGATACGGCCGTCACTGCGGAGAGCACGGTCAGCTACATCGCTTCCTAGACAGCAAGGTGATCCTTACAGCCAATGCCAAGAATGATCCCGGTCATGATAACCGCAAGCCACCACATCATGTCCCTTGTCCAGTCGCCCTCATGTTGAAGCTCATCCCACCGAATGTCCTCTTTGGCCCGGCCTTCGATGAGCTGGATGCCAGGGAGGTGCCTCAGGCCCCGTCCGACGAGGAGCCAACCCTTGATCCTCGCGCCATCTGCGATGTCATTATAGCACTCCCGCTGCACCTCTGCGATCTCAGTGTTGATGACCTTCAGCTTCCAACGCCAGTGGGTAATGTCAGCATAAATCTGCCCGAGCTGATCGTGGTCCAGCCCAGAGAGCGGGCGGACGAACGGCTGCCGTGGCTGCAAACGGAGGTGTGGCGGGGGCACCTCCTCAGGCGCGGTCGGCCCGCCACGGTGACGCATAGGGAATGTCTCTCGGTGCTCCTCGACCGGAGTTCCTGCACCGGTACGGGTGCGTGGGGGGCGTGGCCGACGGCGAGCCTCGGTCGGATACTCCTCGGCGTTTTGGAATGCTTCCGGGTCTTCTTGGGCAACGTCGTGCCAGTCTTCGTCAGGTTCCTCCGCTTCTGGGATAGCTTCCGGGTATTCATATTGGTGCTGGAACCATTGTTGCTGCGGTACAGCACCATCCCTGAAGGCGGCCGTATCCCATGACGTATGCTGGTCAGAACTATAGGGAGCGGCTTGTATGAGCGGGGAGTCGTTGTGGCTGGTCATTGGAGAAAGCTCTCCGCTGTTATCCATCTTGAGCTGGCTACCAAGGGGCAGCCGCCCAACAGCAACAGAGTTGCGGTTGACCTCCTGGAACCGGCTACCGACGATACGCCTGCTGACGCTCTCGGTGAAGCTAGTCTGACGTGAGCGGCGCGAAGAGGAGGATGGGAGATCCTTTTCTGGGTCCGCGAACTCGCCTCCTGTGATTCCCCCAAGGTCCGTGATCTTGTAAAATTGGGAAGGCATTACGTAGGACGTCGGGGGCAGAGATGATGATGCATATGCAGGGTTCCTACCCCTACGTCTGCGGCGCCGGCTCTGATGGTGAAGGTCAGTCGCATATCCTCGCTAACTCTGACGCACTTACTGCAGAGCTAGACAGAGGAAGTGGGCGGCTGATTGGAGGTCGGGAAGGGGCTCCAGCTTCCTCTACGGGAGGTGGCACCGGCGGTTCCCAGTCAGAAATTGAAGGGTCTGGCGTCGTAAGCCTGAAGCTATTGATGTATCTGGTTTCTGCTACCTCCAGATTTTCGAGCACCTCGTCCCGCTCGTCAATTAGCAGAGCCAGATGACCTGTATCACTTATTCGCGAATAGTGAGCAGACGGATTGCACTTGAGACATGCACCTTATACGTACCCAACAGAGAAAAGCGACTGGATGTCGATCTCATAACTGCCTCTCTCCTCATTGTTCAGCTCCTGTGCGCGTCTGCGACGCCTTGAGCGTGCATTCCGGTCGTTCAAGTCCAGGGAAGAGCTGAGACCAATCTTGACGAGATAGTCCTTGAGCCGCTTCTCGCCCCAGCCCACAAAGCCCGGGGCGCGCCGTGCGCTCAGCCAACCCATTTCCAACCCCTGGCAGCGCACTTCGATCCACCGCTCGCGATATGCCACCAGCCGGTTAAACTCCCGCAGTATCAACCATAGTGCAGGTAATAGACCGAGCGCAATTGCAAGCACCGTAGCGATGATGGTGCGGACGCGAGCGTCCGTCCTGTTCACGACCGCGCGTGGGGACAGTGAGAGACGATTGTCAAGGTCGACGGTGGTCACCTGGCCCGCATCGAGCAGGCGTAAGAGCCGGAGCAGGCTAAGATCTTGCAGCGCGGAATACACGCCGGTGTAATGAGGCCTAGGTGCCGAGTCTGCGAGGCAGGGCGTGGAGACCATGTACAGAGGGAGGAAGCCTGCGAGCGCGAGGACCGTCCAGCCGCCGGCGACTATGGTGCAGACCCATAGAACGCGTTGACTGAGCTGTTCGTCAGACGGAAAGAGCACCGCATCCTTCGCAGGTGACCGACCCACGTCAGACACGTCCCATGGGATGGATGGGACGAGAGGAACGTGAGGGAAGAGGAACGCCGAGAAAGAGTGGCCTAGTGGCTTAGGGCGGAGACTAGGACGTGTCAAAAGATTCCACCCGTCTTGAAGTATGACGAACTCACCTCTGCTGTACAAACCACTCTCTGAGGCCATACACTTGTCGATAGCGAGGACGTACAACAGCGAAGCATAACTGGCGGGATGTAAGTCAGTCGCATTCAAATCTCAAGCCCGTTCGCATGGCGCAGGAACGCACCCATATCAATAAACCAATAGCAGACGGAACAACAAGGGCAGTTAACAGACCCCACGAGTAGGCGTCCGCACCGTCACCAACGCAGACTGGTTGAACAAGCCCGGCAGCACGGACTGCATCCGTATTCAAAGATCTTATCAACGCGTGCGATGGGGTGTCCGTGAATAGCGACAAGGACAAGGATGTCGTAGAAGGTTCGTAGGCAGTGCCCGGAATAAAAGTAGGGAATGCAGCAGGGTTAGATGGGAGAGATACAGGTCCGGAGGATGTAGCGTTAGCGGGGATGGGGGAGTAAGTTGGCAGGGAGCTATGAAAGGCCGCTGTTGCCGGTATTCTAGAGGAAGAGGGTATCGCTGAAGGGTCCGCAGCCAGATATGAGAGAATTACGGAAGACGGAGAGGATTGTGTAGGCAAGACGGTGGGGTCGTCCGTAGTCGACCACCGCTGGATCTGAAGGGTAGACATGGGAGAGGTATCGTCATGAGCTCGTTGCAGTCGTTTCGTCAAATGAATGACCGAGGGCGTAGAGAGGGTTGTCATGTGTGCCCCAAGGGCAAGGATGCGGTATACAAGAAAGTACAAGGATCGCCACGGCGGGACAGCGAACGCGAACACAGCCCAGTCTCAAAGGTTGCGTCGAGCCTCGTCCAAACTTCCCTCGCCATCCACAGGCGTCCTTACCGCTTTCGGAAATCCTTACCCGCCCCATCACACAGTTCCGAGACCCTTTTCTCTCACCTTGTGTCTGGACGAGAACCACGGTCGCGCAGATATAGCGGCTCTAGCGGGCCTGATCACACCAGGGTGCACG